CAAGTCATGGTACAAAAAAAAAAAAAGAGAGAGAGAGAGAGAGAAAGAAGGTAAATAATCTTCTCATAATCTTTATATTGACTGTATGTTAAGATGATAATATTCGGGGCAGTTGTATTAAATAAAATGTTATTAAATTTAATTCCACCTGTTTTTCGGCTGCTTTTTTACTGGCTTTCAATCTGGCTACTAGATATCTTGAAGTACATACATGGCATATATTTCTAGTAGAGAGCACGGATAGAGAATTCCTCCAAACAACGTTCTATAGGACCAACCTAGAGATGCACTAATGTGTTTGGCCCACAGCTGTGTGAGCCACTGACCAGGTCATGCTACCTGGGGACCACTTGATGTTGTGCAAGACTGTTGTTTTCCAGACTAGAAGAATGGATGTGCCTGCTGGCTTTGAGCAAGGAGGCTTTCCTCTTGTTAGAGGGGTATGTGGTTAGGAGGGGAGTACAGGGTCAAGAAGGAACGCACAGGTTCCTTACTTCACCAGGATGCTCACAGATAAGCCGTTTCCAGTCCAGAAACTGGGATGTTCCTCTACACACAGTCCCACCTGGTTTCATCCTTATTGCTTACAGCTACAACTCGGCACTGTATGGAAATGCCAGTGGGTGTGAGAGAAGGCTGAATGACTGCCTCCTCATTTGCCCTCTCACTCACAGAAAGCTGCAGGTGACACAGAAAAGCAACATCAAAATGAAACGAAACAAAACAAAACAAGCAAACAAACACGTAAAAACCATGAACTTATGACACATATCTATTCGGTGACTCATTCTAACTCTCCCTCTTAAGGAAGAACACCCCCCTTGGCAGAGAACACAATTTCCCTGAATGTCTATTTCCCCTTTCTTCCATGGAAATACAAATTTTTGCTGCATATTTAGCTGCCTAAACTCAAAACTATGTTTCGAAGTCTCACAGCCAGGTGAGAACACTTGACTGGGATTTGGCCAATGGGACAGAGCAGGAAGAAAGGCAGGTGATGCTTCCCGGGGAACCTTCCTCAGGTTACAGCTGCTTTGCCTCCACTGCTTCCTCTAACCCCCTGGATCTGGCTACCTGGGATTTGGATAGCGCCTAGAACCGTGAGGGGGAGGGCCCGACCACAGGGCTCACAGGGTGAGTCTTGAGGACATTTTCATCCCCAAAACAGAGCTGCCATACTGGTCCCACACTGCCCGACTCCTGATGTCTTCGTGAGACAGAAACCCATTTCCGTCTGGGTGAAGCTCCCCTGGGGTCTGGATGTTTGTCACCTGATCTTTATCCCCTAATTCTAAATAGCAGATCTCAGATTCTCCTCTTTACAAGATTTCAGGCCTTTCTATTTAAATTGTTTCATGGTTTGCTACTCCAAAATATACTAGAATATAGTTTTCTTTAAAACGTAAGCTTTTTGGGATGCCTGGGTAGCTCAGTCAGTTAAGCGTCCGACTTCCGCTCAGGTCATGATCTCGCGCTCCGTGAACTCGAGCCCTGTGTCGGGCTCTGTGCTGACAGCTCAGAGCCTGGAGCCTGTTTCAGATTCTGTGTCTCCCTCTCTCCCTGCCCCTCCCCCATTCAGGCTCGGTCTCTCTCTGTCTCAAAAATAAATAAACATTAAAAAAAATTTTAAACGTTAAGCTTTAAAAATATATTATTTGTTATTGTTCCCCGGACACAATGTGTCCTAGTTAAGGTCTACAGACTTGATCTATACATCCTTCACGGAAGTGTCTTCCTAAGAATTATTTCCAGCGGAGGCTCCTGTGTGGCTCAGTTAAACATCATACTCTTATAATTCAGCTCGGGTCATGATCTCAAGATTCGTGGTATTGAGCCCGGCCAGCATGGAGCCTGCTTGAAATCCTCTCTCTCCATCTGTCCCTTCCCTGCTGGCACTCTCATGCTCTTTCTCAACATAAATAGAGAAAGATTAAGAAATGCTTAAGAATACATAATACAAAATAAAAAAGAATTACTCCCAGCGACGATAGCTCATTACTTCAGAAAGTTAAACGTAATTGGACAAGAACTACAGAATCACTCCCTGAACGAAGGGCTGTCTGGTTTAAGCCAACTGTCGGAATCACCAACTGGGGGGGAAGAGCAAGAGAGCTGGTCACCCCTTTGCTTCCGGGTATGAGAGAGGTGGGCATCAGAGGGGGAGGGGTCTCTCGCAAAGAACAACTCAGGGGAACTATGTGCCAAACAGAGGTCCTGTGCAAGAGCCCTTCCCTGGTAAAACAGCGTTCGGTGAGACACAAGAATCTGTGGGAACAGGGAGCTGGAAGGCTCCCCGTCCAATGACCTCAAAGTGTGAGCGTTCAGAGGTGGAAGATGGAGAAGGTACCGGACCCGCAGCCTGGATGACAGATGAGCACCTCAGAGGCTGTGATACAAGTCAGGTTACAAGTGGGTGTCGGGAGCCTGAGAGAGTGTTTTGAGCTTAAGATGAGATTCAGGCCCAAAAAAAAAAACAACAACAACAAAAAAAATGGATTTAATGAGTCAAGTAATGTCCTACACACATATTTCCTTAATTTACTCTAAAATATCAATTTAAAATGGATGCATCTTTCCTAGTTCTGCCTAGTTTGGGGTTTAAAATAATGACATATATTTCTGGTACAAAAGAACAAGAAAAACATGAAAGAATAAATGCATTTTTCCCCCTAAGGGAAGCTAAACTAATACCTGTGAATTAGTCCTCATTTATTACTGGGAGTGCCAGACATCACCATCACTTGCTAGGGGCAGGCTTTTGCTCTAATTCCTCGGAAAGCCTGCTGCTGTCTGTTAGGTATTAGATGTACGAAGTAGTCTGTGACAAAGAGCAGGAGGGCAGAGCGTTCGCGTGTCCTTGACCAGAGATTGGGGCTTCTCCAAGAAGTGTGCCCGACTCAGAGGAAAGAACCCCCTGAAAGCGCTGGCAGCCAGTGCACACAGGCTCTCTCTCCCAGGGTGCAGCTCGATGCCCCAGCACTCTACCGTCCACAGGCTCAAGTGCCTCGAATGGCGGCAGGCAAGGGCACAGTACAGGCCATCTTGCAAAGTTGGCGTTCTTAGATAAAGCTAGCAGCGTATTTGGTAATCACTTCACGTCACAGGATGTCACTGGTGTTGCTTAAATTTAGAAAAGAAATGATGAGTCTCTTCACCTCACAAAGGCTATAAGGAGGGATAAGATATTCTCTTGTATAAAACTTCCCTTTTTTAAAATTATTTTAATGTTTATTTAGTTGTGAGAGATAGAGACAGAGCGTGAGCAGGGGAGGGGCAGAGAGAGAGGGGCGGGACACAGAATCCGAAGCAGGCTCCAGGCTCGGAGCTGTCAGCACAGGGCCCAACATGGGGCTCGAACTGACAAACTGCGAGATCATGACATGAGCCAAAGTCAAATGCTTAACTGACTGAGCCACCCAGGCGCCCCTAAAACTTCCCTTTTTATTCCTTGGTCAACTCAGCGCTTTTTTTCCCTTCTTTAAAATGTAGCAATTTGCATACATTAGTTTATGGCCAAAATGCAAAAATCAAAACCAAAACAAAACCCTGGTTTCTCTTTGGAGTTTATTAATTTTCCATATTAAAACAACCCAAGCAGTTTTCTGCTGATTTCGCTATGGATTGTAGAATTGTGGTAAGACTGTTCACATACTTCTTAGAAGCGACAAAATCTTATTTTGACATCTTTGAAGAAGATAATGATGATGTGCAGCATTATGTTCTGCTATGGCACAGATTAGCTTAAGATAGTTCACCAGTGACAGATTAACCTGGGAGCACGCTACTAAAGTCCCTTTACCACTGATACCAGAACCCAAGGATTCAACCTCACTGCCACTGAGCAGAGAATATTTTTAGATTTGCAGGGGTGCGCATAAAACTTGCAAAAGGATCTAGTTATGTAACCTATTTTCATAATATGCAAACTGTGTGTATATATAGAGAGAGAAGTACCGGGTAACGCCGAGTACTATGCAAACTGTGTGTATATATAGATGAGTACCTGGTTACACCAAGTAATATGCAAAGTGTGTGTGTATATATAGATGAGTACTGGGTAACACTGAGTAATACGCAAACTGTGTGTATATATATGCAGACGAGTACTGGGTAACAGCAAATAATATGCAAACTGTGTGTATATATAGAGACGAATACTGGGTAACACCAAGTAATATGTAAACTGTGTGTATACAGAGAGGAGTACCAGGAAACACCAAGTAATATGCAAAGTGTGTGTATATATATGTAGACGAGTACTGGGTAACACCAAGTAATACACAAAACATGTGTATATACAGATGAGTACTGGGTACACCAAGTAATATGCAAACTGTATGTGTGTGTGTGTAGATAGATACATAGATAGATAGATAGATAGATAGATAGATAGATAGATGAGTACTGGGTAACACCGAGTAATATGCAAACTATGTGTATATATAGATGAGTACCTGGTTACACTGAGTAATATGCAAAGTGTGTGTGTATATATAAATGAGTACTGGGTAAAACGGAGTAATATGTAAACTGTGTATATATATGTAGATGAGTACCAGGTAACACCAAGTAACATGCAAACTGTGTGTGTGTGTGTGTGTGTGTGTGTGTGTGTGTGTGTGTGTGTCTGTGTGTCTGTGTGTCTGTATCTATCTATATGCCTATCTATCTACATATATAGAGGGAGGGAGGGGTGGGAGAGACAGAGAGAGAGGGAGGGAGAGAAGTATCAGGTAACACTGAGTAAGTGTGTGTGTGCGCGTTGTGTGAGGGATCAGATTTGTTTCCGTTGTTCCGGAAATTTAAAAACCGCTAATATCTTGCAAATGTTTGCCGCCTCGCAAATTCCAAATAAATATGACGCACTAGGAAAACGTGCATCACCGTCTGCCTTGTCCTGCTTTGTCTGTATTCAGTGGACACAACGCTGTTCGAGACTTCACTCGTGTTCACGAAACACACCAGCATGCGGGAAGACATCCCCGTCATGTGCTCCTTACCTCGGCAAATGGGCCGATGGTCGCTCCACGCAGCCAGTGTCTCCGTGACTCTCTGACAGGTTATACTCTTGGATCCCTGGAGCACATAATTATCCTCACAGGAGAACTGGACATTTGCACCAACCCTAAGCAGTTAAAAAAAAGAGAGAGAGAAAACAACCCAAATTATCCATGGAAGTCTTCGTCACAAAAATATCAACACAGTGTTGTTAGCGTATTATGCCCTCCAAACAATATTACACTTCAAGCAATCCCTGAGAGATCATGCTTAGATAGAACCCTGTAATTTAGCACAGGACACACAGCACAAGACCTGGGGTCAAATATCTGTTCTGCCAACTTCACAGCTAAATAAATATATGAACCTTAATTTCTCACCTCTAAAATGAACAAGAGTAACAAAGGCGACCAGACTGCATGCTGTGGTGTAGATGAGAAAATGTGTAAGAAAGAATTGTGTACTCCAAAAACAAAGTTGGAGTCATTCTTTGTGAATAAATACCCTGAAGAAACAAGGATTGGAAAAGTACAGGTTAAGAAAACGTCTCAGCGTACAGAAAGACCAATGCTACGTGGTGCCACTTACAAGGTTCTAAAAACACTCAAGGACAGGAACGATGTTACTAAGGGCTTGGGCGAGAGGAATGGGCTGCTATTAATCAACCAGCATCAAGGTTTATTTAATTAAGATGAATATACAACATTGATCATATAGTCGACAGTAATGTGTACTTATAACTGGCTAAGAGGACGGACCTCATGATGAGTGTTTTTATTACAATAAAATAAAATAAAATAATAAAAATAAAACAAAACAAAACAAAACAAAACAAAGCAAAATAAAATAAAATAAAATAAAATAAAATAAAATAAAATAAAATAAAATAAAACAAAATAAAACAAAATAAAACAAAATAAAACGAAAATTCTCCCAATGAAAGGGAGGGGGAGAAAAATGTCTCAGTAAAGAATCTATGTTACTATCACAAACATTAATTATATTCATAAAGCCAGTGATATGGTATTTCGGAAATACACCTTACAGGAAAAAGAAAACCACGTGTTTTAGAAAAAAGCAATCCATCCAGCCTAAAGTTGGACAACAAATTGTCTGGGCTTCAGAGCTGCATCTGCAAACAGGAAGTTCTAAGGTCCTAAGCGTAACAAAATGTTGCACAACAACCATTCAACAGGTGCGTAACAAAACGTGCCAGGCACACACTGAGTCTGAACACACCAATGGATTCTATCCTCTAAGCCTGCTGTCTGGAAGGGAGCTGAGAATAGTATTATTTTAGAATCCGACACGCCTCCTGCTTCAAGAGGAGTGTCTACGTATGTTTTCCACTTGACAGACTCTCAGCTTGATGTTGACAAAAATGGGAATGCGAGGGGGTCCCTGGGGAAAAAAGATGAAAGTCTCCCATGTGCACGGATACTGTTAATAACAGATGAGAGACAGAGAAGGAAAATAAACACACATTCTGTTCCTGCTCATTGAAAACTCTCATCTACAGTCTCAGAGTGCATATTACTCAACTGGTATCACACAAGCACCTCCCACACTTCTGTAAAACACTCTGGGGATGGTCACAGATACCTGCAGAAATCATCAACTCGGGGTCAAACCAACTGAAAAATTCTGGATTTAGCAAAATTTAGCATCTTTCTTTTCTAAAGAGGATTCTCAGTATGCTACAATATGCAAAAAATGTATTTTGTTTATGTAAGAGAATGTAAAGTATAAAGATCTTCAAATTTATAGATTTCCAGGAAGCCCCTTTTCACCAGTATCCATGGCAACTAAAACTCCCTGGAGTTAATTTTGAGAAACACTGTATCATAGGTACATAACTTGTATTACTTTTGAAAGTAAAAAGTGTAAAAACCAAAATATACACATAATTCTAATTTTCATGGTCAGTCATAACAGCTATACATTTAAAACGTATATGTAAACATGTTATTTAAAACAGCTATACATTTAGGAGCCATCTGTCCATAATTTCTGCTCATTGGTCTTTGTTTAAACCTCTGGAGCCACACTGAACAAACGAAATAAATCTAAAAATTTTGTTCTGTAAGCAACTATTATTTCTCTGTGTTCAGTTCCATCTTCAGTTCCTTCTGTTTACATAAATCTCATTTTTCGTGTATTTTATCATTCTTTCAATACATACTAATTGAACATCTACTATGTGCCACTCCACTCTAGGTATCAAGATGCAAAAATTACTAAGAGTTAAAAGTTGAGAAGATCCCCGTCTCATGGAAGTAACAGTCTAGTTAAGGGAAGAAAATACAAATAAGAAATTAACCCAGAAGAATATAAAAGAGTATCATAAGTGCTATGGAGAAAATCAGTCAACTGTTATGATATGACTAACACATTAGGGGGAGTTAGGATTTGAGAGTATATCAACATTTTCTTTTTTTTTTTTTTTTTTTTTTTTTTTTTTTAACAATCCTGTTAAACTAAAGAGCTAATGGCTTCTACATTATCACAGGTGTGGTCAAGCATAAAGGAAGGAAAGTGGCATTACCGCTTCCTTTGGCCACCACTATATTTCAACTACAGCAGCCAACCGGTCATTAGTTATGGCAGACGGCATCCCGCTCCATCGAAACCTGCACTGTTCACAGATGCTTTCTCAGACCTCCAATCACTGTTCCTCTAGGTAATCTTAGGAGTCTGTGTTTTGTTTGGACATCAAGAACCTTAGTTGGGGCGCCTGGGGCGCTCAGTCGGCTGGGCGTCCGACTTTGGCTCAGGTCACGATCTCACAGTCTGTGAGTTCGAGCCCCGCATGGGGCTCCGTGCTGTCAGTTGGAAGCCTGAAGCCTGCTTCTGATTCTGTCTTCCTCTTTCTCTGCCCCTCCCCCACTCACACTCTGTCTCTGTCTCTGTCTCTGTCTCTCTCTCTCTCTCTCTAGCAAAAAATGAATAAATGTTAAAAATTTTTTTAAAAAAAGAACCTCAGTAATATCAGTGATCTGGCACTATAACATATATTCATCATCCAAAATATGGGCAGAGTTGGTTTTTAGAAGCATGAAAGTGTCCAACAATAGAACCAGGGCTGACTAAATTATTTCAGATGTATATGAAAAACTCCAATGTTGCACAATAAAGGTGAGCATAAACCCATAGCGATATAGAGAAAAGCTTGACGCAAAATTGTACGGACTCCAGATAATAATAACATGTATATCAACACCTATCTATCAGGAAAAATAGGCAAAAACTAGTTTTTAGTGGTGACATCATCATCAGTACACTTCTGTTTCTATATTCCAATAATTGCATACTTTTGGTTTTAATAATCTGTAATGTAAAGCTTTAAACAATCTTTTAAAATCCTGTTAGTAAAAACCTTAGTTTGAGTGCCAGCTGGAAACCAGAGCCACCGCTGGGTGAACTTAGTCCCAAGAACTGAAATGAGGCAAACTCTCTGCCTATGATGGATCTGATTGAGACTGAAAAAAATGAAAGCAAACAACGATGACCCAATTTCCCGCCTATTTCAACCTTTTCCTTTGTTTTTATCTCGCACGTGAATCAGTTCAACTTACAATCCAGGCATACTTTCAACTGCTAATATATAATACACTAAGTTTTCATATGATTTATGATTTGATCATAATTACTATGTCTGCAATTATCTATGTAACATTAGGAAACCAGTTTGTTTTTCTGGACAAGACTTTGAGAAGAAAATTCTAAAAAATAACAGTTATTAATACCTTCCCATTGACAAGCAAATTTAAGACATTTTGATTAAATATGTTGGACAATTTTGACAATTGCTAGTAGTTGGAAACTGTAAGAAATAACAGAAAACTGGTTTTGTGTGAGATCAAGATATGTTGTATATAGATAATAAATACCTAACTGGTAAACTTTAAGTTAAATTTTATGCTACAGTTCGAGTGGCCTAAATTTTGTGTTTTAAATAGAACAGGGGAAAATAAATGTTTCCCGTCTTCGGCGACAAGCTTTTCTGAAAACCTCATCCCTTGACTTTTTGAATTCAAACAACATTCCATCTGCCACCACCTCCTTGACTTCACCTACCACAATTTAAAGAGTCTTTTGAGGTGAATGAGCTATTTCTAAATGTGGCTTAGTTTTATTTTAAGTTTATTTATTTTTGAAAGAGAGAGAACACAGGCAGTGAGGGGGGTGGGCAGAGAGAGAAGGAGACAGAATCTGAAGCAGGCCCCAGGCTCCGAGCTGTCCGCACAGAGCCCGACACGGGGCTCGAACTCAAGGACCGTGAGATCGTGACCTGAGCCGAAGTTGTACATTTAACCGACTGAGCCACCGAGGTGCCCCAAAATATGGCTTAGTTTTAACATGAACTATTGCTAAATTTCGTTTTCCTAAATAATGGCTCCTTACAGATTTACTTAAAATTGGTGACATAAGTATTTCTGATTTTTAAAAAAATCTGAAAAAAACCCCAAAACACCTGAAGTGACTTAAATATTAAACCAGAATCCAAAATAAGATATGAATTGGTTTAGCTGTGATGTCTAACTATCCATTAATTACCAGAGATATAACAGCCTGGACCATCAAGATAGAAATATCTCCAATCTTTCCTCAACACATACTCGTGGACATCTATTGAATATACGAAAAAAATCAACTTCTCCATTTAGAGTTTTCTAAATCGATATACAGATCAAAATGGATAGAAATAGAAAGATAGGTAGGTAGGCAGACAGATATCGGCCTCTTTGTTTAAAAATACATGCAGTTTAAGCATTACACTTAAAAAGTCATAAATATTTTAGGCACCAAAAGTGGGCATTAAAACATTTTGCATCTCTAGGAAAAAAAAAAAAGATAATTATATAATACTGCTTTCACTCTTAAGCAACAGAAAACACAAAAGTTACAGCAAAAAAAAAAAAAAATTTCTTTAGAACTAAGTTCAAGCTAGGATTTGACATATTTGTCCTCGTAAAATGAACCAGGGTGACACTGGGAAATTTTGCTTCACTGAACTATTTGCTTACAAAGAAGCAGCACCATGGGGCGTGACGATACGTAAAGTGATAAAGGAGGTGTGCGTGTGTTTGCCATGTGTACATGACTATGCACACCTGTGAGTTTCCT